ATGAACACAGGAAAGACAAAAACACAGATTTTTGCAGGTTTTTGGCAAATATCTCGTTTGAATGTTGTTACCCGAGCAATAACGAATTAATAATTTTCACTCTATCAAACATTTGAGCACAACACAAGTGAAATAAACGGAACTTTTTAGCTCTTTAACTGACGAATGTATAATATTTGTCCTCTCGATATTACGTGATGTGTTTCACTTAATCGTTTTGGAGCTCTATGCACTGATATTGTGGTTTTTTGTTAATCTACATATAATAGATGATCAGTGCGAGTATTATTTTCAGCTCGTGTGCAACAACTTCACAGTTTTCCAGGAGAATTCAGGGGATTTTGTCCTCCTGAGTCCTGATTCAGTTAGTTTAGTTTCACGTCCTTCAGCAAGAACTTTCCAGTCAACTGTCAAAAATAGGATTTATTTAAGACACAGTGACCTATTATAAGACTGTACACAAGAATCCAATGAAAAGGCACGTTTACAAAACAGCACTTAGATTTCCTGTTTTACTAACACAACACTGAGTACTAAAAGGCAGGAAGGACATTTCCTGAACAGCTGATTCTTCATCTGGAGTGACTGTAGTGTGTTTACTGGAGCAAAGTTCTACCTTCAAACTATGAATATTTTCAGAGTTACAGGCCCCTGAAGTCCAGAGAGGAGGCACAAGAAGCATTCACCAGAGTTAAAATATGAATATATTAAAAATAATATATGTTTAGACACAAGTCAAACGGTCCTTCTATTGTCTAGAACCGGTTCTGACCAACCACCACCACACATGCTGGTATGGAAAGTTTACCCAGAATGCACTTTGTAAAGTTTCCTCTAGTGACTGATCAGAACCAGAACCACATCCAGGGTACCACTGATGGTTTCTATGACTCTGTGTCATAGACATTAAACTGGTACCACTATGAGACATCCCATAATACTGATGCTACCAGCTGGCTGTAGATCCAGAAGGTCTGAAATTGCTCAGGAACAGTCCTACATGACTTTAAATCTGTCCAAAATGACTCAAAATGGGCCAATATTTGTAAAAAAAAAATTTGACAAAGTGACAAAATCCGTCCACAGTGACTCAAAGTGTCTCCCAAAACCAAGAAAAAGGCTAAAATCAGCCCAAAACTGTCTAAAATGACTTAAAAATTCCCCAAAATGATTTTAAAAACTTTGTCCAAACGTACTTAGAAACTAAATGACATGATGTAGAACTGATCTGGTGTCAGGTTCTAGCAGAACCCAGATGTGTTCTTCCTCCTAAATGTCATGTGTCTATCTGCTGTACTGGTGAAGTTCTGAGGCTCAGAAATGATGGAAAAAGTCCATTAAAGTGATCAATCTGGACCCTCCTCTGTGGACTTGAAGGACCTGGACCTCTGGAACATTCACAGTCTGAAGGTAGAACTCTGGTCAGTAGATGAAGGTTCTGCAGACAAAAGATCAGCTGGTTCTGAGGAACTTTTTCCAGGTTTGTTGACATAATTCGTCTTTAGGTTCCATCTTGAAATGACCGACAGTAACAGTTTCTTATTGACAATCCGTCCTACGACTTCCTGTCCCCTCCACAATAAGAGCACCGGGTGTGACTGGAATGTTTGGCTGTAAACATGTTGCTGTGACATTCGTTCGTCTCCGTCAGTCTGGAATGTTTTCAGATCCGAGGGTCCATCATAGTTCGTCCTTCAGCTCGTCCTGCCGGTTCTTCCGTTCACACGTGCACGCGGCCGTGTGGTCGTCCGGCTGAGGAACCGGCTCCATGTCCGGGTGTCGGGTCGGCCGCCCCGCCTGCCGCTCCGCGTACATGTGCAGCACTCTGTAGTAGTAGCAGTACAACCTGCTGGGCTGCAGCAGCTCCCGGGCCGCCGCCTGGCCCGCCCGGCCCACCTCCCGGGCCTCGCCGTCGTTCTCTCGGGCCCATTTGATTTTGTCCAGCAGGTCCGACAGGTTCCTCTTCACGGGGACGTAGTGGGTTCCTGCCTTCAGGTGGGCGTAGAAGTGCTCGTAGTACGGAGAGTCCTGCTTCAGAACCAGGCTGTTCCCCAGCATGAGGTAGGGAAACCGGTACGCCGCCACCGTCCCGTCCACGTTCACCTGGTACTTGTACTAGAACAGGGACACAAACATCAGCATTTAAAGTTAAACGTCACGTATGTGTTTAATAACCGGGTCAGCTTGTGTCACTTCAGATCAGTTTCTCACTTTTTCACTTATTTTTTGGAAAAAAACAGAATTTTGTCAAGTTCATGTTTTCAGCCTGAAAGTTTTTCTATTTTCACCCAAAAAACAAAAATCTTCTAAAGAGTTTTATGATGTTTTGCTTTTTTTTTTTTTAAACACTTCCTCCCCAAATGCTCTCAAAAGGATGAATGAAGTATCTGTCAATCCATCAAAACGAAGTTCTGGATAATATCTTCATAGTTTAATATCTGAAGAATTAAAACTCCTCCAGCCATGAGATGAAAACACAGAACAGTTTATATCAGATCAGGATGATTGAACAGCTTCTAAAAGGGGACACACTTTTAATTATTGGTCCTTGAAAATGAAAAAAAAACTGCTAAATGTTCAACCCAGGCTGGTGTTGATCCCAGAACCTGATGTGTCCAAAACTGACAGAAAATTGTCTTAAACAACTTAAAATTGTCAAAAAATAACCAAAAAATGGCTCAAAATTACTTAAATTTTGTCCAAATGTGCTAAAAATGATCCAAATGACTCAGAATTCTCCAAATGACACAAAAATGTCCTAAATTTGGACAAAAATTGACAAGAAATTATCCCAAACTAGTCCAAAACTGACAAAAAAAATTCACAAACAACTTAAAATTCTTAAATTTCTTTAAATTGGCTCAAAATAACTTAAATTTTATCCAAGAGTACTGAAAATTATTCAAAAATGACGCAAAAACATCCTAAATTAGTCCAGATATGACCTCAATTATTAAAAAATGGACAAAATGATCCAAAATTTGTCCAAAACAGACATAAAATTGTCCTAAATTCCTAAAAATGGTTCATATTGACAATAATGAATAATTATTGGCTCTTAATAATAGAAAAAAAAGGACAAAACCTCCAACCCAGGCTGGTGTTGTGTCTTTATAAAGTTCCTGTCAGTGTCTATCTATGGATGGATCCATGGTTCTACTAGAACCCAGTCTCTGGTCACATCTCACCAACTGTTGAGGCTCTAACATCAGCAGAACCTGATGTGGGGAAGTTGGACCAGACCAGGTTCTGGTCTTTGCAGATTTAGACAAAAACACTGAAAACAAACTACTTTTTTTTTTTAGGGTGGAAATTACTGAAACTCCAGGTCGGAAAACTTACAAAATTCAGCTGAAATATTTTACAGACGTTCCTAAATCAGAAACTCTGAACAAACTCAGAACCAGAACCCTGAGAGACTCAACGTGACTGTCATGAATAAACGTGTTAAACATTCTGCGTGTAAATGTTTAAGTAACGTCTGCGTCTTCGTGTTTTGTCACCTTGAAGAAGTCGAAGAATCCCACCAGCGGCGCTTTGCCCACGTGCTTCTCTCGGTCCCTGAAGAAGAACCAGCCGGTGATTCCTGCGTCCAGCAGGTCGGGGTTCTTCTTGGACAAGGAGACGAGCTGCAGACGCTCCTCTCGACTGTCCCGGCCTCGAAAAAACGCCCGGTCCGTTTTGTTAACCCACGGAGGTCCTGTCGGTACCGAAAAACAGCAAGAAAGGAGTGAAGCTTTACAACAGGAAGAAATGTAACGAAGCAGCGTGAAGGAAAGTAGATTAAAGACTTTAGTTTAGCTCAACGACAGCAAGTTTTAATCAAAGTTAAATGTTGTTTATACAAGAAAAGCCTGACTTCACCGATTCACTGTTTGTTCAAGTAAAACTGTGGACGAAGACGTGTTCATCTGCTCAAAACAGCTAAAAGAAGCGTTTTTTAAAAAGAATATCTTGTTATAAAAACTATAAACTCTCATTAACAGTTTAAATAACGTCTGAAAGAATCAACTGCAGCTGAACTTATTTTATAAATGCGACAGTCGAGGTTCATTCTGAGCAAATCACTGAACGTATTAAACATTTCACGGATTCTTCCAGATCAAATCAAATCAAATTTATTTACAAGTTCTGCACAAAACATCAAGACGGGATTGTAAAACTACATAAAACTGAATAAAGCAACTTTTAAGATCCGATTTCTGAAAAAAAGTCACTAAAACATCACGAGCGCGTTGCCCTGCTGCACGTTTATGATCGTTTTGTCTAATTACAGAAGCTTTGCTGATTTATTTTCCATTTTAAAACAGCAGAAACATGAAAGAAAAACTAATTAAATCGCATTTCAACAAATATTCCAGCGACACGGTTAAATGTGTGAATCTACATTTCGGTGCTTTAAACGTTTACTGAGGTCCGAGTGTAAAAACTGCAGGAAAACGCTTTAAAAACGGATTTTAAATGTACCGGCGGCTTCATCAACAGGATTAGGAGTTAATTAGGAAACAAAAAACTTGTTTAATCCTGGAAAGTGGCTGATCTTGGACATTTAAATCAATCGAAAGACTAAAATTCAACCCCTGGAGCCACCGTTTATTAATCATAATCATAATAATAATAATAATAATAATAATAATATAATAATAATAATATTAAAATCCTCCCTGTGAGCTTTAATATTCTGTAAAAGCACCAGAGGAGCTGCTGCTGCTGCGACGCCCCCTGGTGGACGCCTCCAACAAGAGCAGAAAGCAGAGTTCACATTTTAACTTACTTTATCCGTTTTTTAGTTTTAACGTCTTCTTTTATTAAACTGAACTCTGACCTACTGAGTTTATTCGATCCTTTAGTTTTATTTTAAGGAGTTTTTTTTATCATAAACTGTTTTTAATTTTCCCTCTTCTGTCACAGCTTCATGTATTTTATGCTGCGACACAAATAAACTTTATTGTTATTATCACTGTAACTCAGTCGGACGCTTTCAGGACACGAGTCCAATCAGATCCTGTTGAAATATTTTAGGCTAAAAATCGCTTCATAAGTGTCACCAAACACAACAAAAGAACCCAAAAGAACTAAAGCAGCTCGATAAAGTTCTTTGCAGCTCCTGAGAAAGTTTTTTTTTAAACACTATCCGATGTTGTTTTATGTGAACACAAACAGAACAAAACATGACGGCTGGTTTTCCAGGAGCTCGACTCTTCTCTGTTCCCCGGTGTGTGCTTTCAGTTTATTGTCCAGCGCTGCAATGTTCAGGAGCAATAAATGTCTTTATTAAAAGCTGTAAATCAGTAAGAAGTTCTGCAGCAGACTGATTTGAAGTCGTGCAGCTTCAGGGCGACCCGGTTCTGATCGATCTGCTCCAGGTGCGTCGCTCACCTGTGTGGCCCTGGACGGACAGCAGGTCGTTGGTGACGCCTCTCAGGGTCTCCAGCGTGGAGTGGGTCACCTCGTAGGTGGGCAGGACCACGTCTCTGGTGTCGCTGGAGCCGCACCAGGACAGAACCGGCACCGGGTCCGTCCTCCTCGTCTCCAGCGGCCAGTCGCCCACGTTGACGAAAAACTCCACGTCGGGCAGCTTCACCTGCAGCAGAGCATCGTGGTGGTTAGCACGGCGACGCTTCAGGTTCGTTTTATTCTGAAAACAAACTAAACATCGACATTGTTTGAAAATTCTTCTGCTTCTATATGAACCTGTACTCAGGATTACATTAATACTTTCTGCACTACTTTAAGTCTTTACGTTTATAATTATTTACAGTCATGACTCGATGACCCGACACTAAATGTAAAACCTTCTTTTATGTCGGATATCAAGGCTGTCGGATTGTCCAGACGGAGGTCCAGATACGAGGAGGGCTTGATGCTGGAAGGCTCATT